CTCTGTGTAGCTTTCCGCCTTTCCTGGAGCTCACTTGGTAGCCCAGGCTGGCCTCAAACTCACAGAGATCCGCCTGCCTCTGCCTTCCAAGTGCTGGGATTAAAGGCGTGCGCCACCACCGCCCGGCTAACCCATCTTTTTTATTCTCACACATCAAGTTTTTTGCCAACTTGACACAAGCTAGATTCATCTGAGAAAGGGAATCCTAATTGAGAAAGAGCCCCCATCAGACTGGCTGTTAGGTAGCCTGTAAGTGCATTTTCTTGAACAGTTATGGGTAATGGACGGTCATAGCCCACTGTGGATAGAGCGACACACCTGAGCAGGTGGTTTTGGGCTGTATAAAAGAGCAAACTGAGCGAGCCAATGAGCAGAGCTCCTCTGTGGACTCTACTCTGACTCCTGCCCCCTGGCTCTGCTTGAGTTCCTATCTTACTTCCCTCAGTGATGGACTGTGATCAGGACATTGTACTTGAAATGAACTCTCTCCTCATCAAGTGGCTTCTTGTAATCAGATTTTCCTTTGGGCTGACGGCTCACAAAAACATGACACAGAGACTTGTTACTAATTATGAAAGCTTGGCCTTACCTTATGATCTTCCCCAACTAACTTTTATAATTTAATTTAACCGGTTTCTATTAATCTACAATATGTCACGTGACGTGGTTACCTCTCCCCTGTATAGTATGTCCGACCTCTTCAGTGTCTCACTGGCGTCTCCATGCACCTGGATTCTAATTCCTCTTCCCCTCTCTCCCTGGAAATCCCACCTATCCTCTCCTGCCTAGCTCTTGGCCATTCAGCTCTTTATTAAACCCATCAGAAGGAGCCTTGGCAAAGACACATCTTCACAATGTGCAAAACGATGATCCCACAACAGCTTCTGGTTGTGGTGTTTATTGCAGCAGCAGAAAACAAACTAATACTCATGCTACATTTACATTATCATGCAGGATTACTTGTCCTGGGTGCTGTTGGTTTTCTGAGAATTCTTCCTCCATGATTCAGGTGGTCCCACAGTCCAGACGAGCCCTCCATGCTGGAGTATCCACAGGGCGTCACTGTCAGCAAGTGTAAGCCCTGTACTGCAGTGGTGGGGACTGATACTGATTCCACCGGTAGTGGAAGAGAGAAGGCGGGGGTCTGTTGACTTGTCCCATCCCTGCTTCAGAGACAGGAGCAGGAGATGGGACAGCACATGGGAATTTAGTCTGACTGTTACTGCCTTTGAGAGGATGGCAAGGAATGCTTCTGGAAATCTTGGGATGCTCTTGTTTGTGGTGGAGAGCAGAGGTGGTGGTACCCTGTCAACCATCACGTCTTCACCATTTCTTGCCTCTGAAGCAGTTCTCAGCAAGCACCCCTTCACCCCCCATTTCTCTCCTCTGTCTGAACTTTGGTATCAGCCTCTTCACTTGATCTTTCCATCCTCCAGTCCTGTCTACACCGTGACTACACAGATCGTCCCAGTGCAGAGTCCAAGGTGTGTCACTCCTCAGGTGTACACCTGACAGCCCTGTAGTTCCTGCAGCAATTCAAAGACATCCTTGTACTTTACCAGAAAGGGTGGACCGTGAGTGTGAAAGCGAAAGAGTCTCTAAGCCGTCATAACCTCACCCAAGTCCACTGGACCCGCCTCACTTCCTCTACTCACCTTTCCTTCATGTGTCTCTGCCTTAGTCACTGGGCTGGGGCTTGCACACCTCTTTGCTTTCCATATGCTTTTCCTTCTTCTCTCAGTGCGATTTCCCTTAGATAGACTGCTGACTTCTCCTTAGGATCAGGGCTAAGGACCACTGCCTCTGTGAGCTTCTTCCTTATGTCTCTCCCAGGTCTTCCTTTCAGTCAAGACTCCAGCCTTTTACCACTGTGTCTACTTGTGGTAGATAAGCAACCTGCTTAGTGGGTACTGCTGCCTCTGACTCACTCACTGGATTTTATTTCTCCTTCTTAACTTATTTACAAACAGTCCCCTGTGGGGGTCTATGGTGATATTTTATTTGTACTGAAATGCGATTTTAATTTTATGTTAATAATAAAGTTGCCCTGGGGTCAGAGCTATTAGAGCCATAGCAAGAACGTGATGGTTAGAAGAGCTAGGTAGATTTCTGTGTGTTCAGGGATACAGCCAGTATTGTAGACATACGCCTTTAAGACCTGGAGGGCGGTACTTACAGGCAGTGATGAGGCAGTCATGTGGTTGGGTTTACAACCAATGAGATGGCAGAACAGAAAGACTATTTAAACACGGACAAACAGGAAGTAGCTCTCTAGCGGGGAAGCTAGGAGCACTGCAGGAGGTAAGATTTTATCTCTGAGCTCTGACCTCTTGGCTTTCTCTTTTACATTGGCTCTGTGTTTCTTATTTTAATAAGACGATTGGTTACATCTACAGGGGTCCCTGCAAGTTCACAGGCAGCAGAGAAGAGATCCTGGTGGGTACTGGTTCAAACTTCCTGAGTATAACACGAGGCCAGCGTCTTTAGATATATGTAAGTGTAGTATAACCTTGGAAAAAAGTTTCCTTGTAACAACTATCCCAATCTCATGTGTAGAATAAAGCTTAAGGAATGACTACATCGAAACTCCTTTGCAAAGTGCACATGACCATGAAGATGGGTTTTATAGCTTAAGGGCCTAGGATCTGGTGTACTGTGACCAAGATAGCTGGAAGTCAGCAGGCTATAAATACAGTACATGTGACATCTCCCCTAAGGATGGGTTCTACTGGCTGAGAAACAAAGCTGAAGACAAAGGTCTAGGGAAGGAAAATCTGGGGTGAACATTCTGGAGGATTCGGGTGTGGTTTGGCTCCACATATAGCAAAGTCCCCAGGTCATTAATGACCTCCATTCCCAGGCTTCTGGGTGGAAAACGGGTATTCATTTCCTCCATTGAGGAGACAACCTGAGGGATTCACACTGCTGGTTTCTCCTGGGCTCATCTATGAACACTCTATGTACCCTCTACACTGGACCACCTGCCTCTCTATGCCCAGCACCAAATATCCTTTCCGGGATTCTGAAACTGCTGTATAGGTAGAGGGCATGTTCCAATAAGGACACGTCCTCTGAGAACACTTATTCTAAGAGACTGTCATCCTGAGTCAATAGAACTGAAGGATTCAGGATACCTGGACTGTACGAATTCTTCAGATTCCACTCTCCTGAGGTTTTTAATCATGATAGGAATTCTGAATCTCCTCAAATTCAGTAAGCCTAGACTTAAAGCATTTCTTTGCTAACTGATGGAGAAACAGAGAAGGGAAGGGATTCATTCATGGTCACACAGCTAGGAATAAGGAACAGGAAGGGAACTTGAGCTCTGCCATGCCTCTCTGTTTGCACTGGGATCTAGAGAATTCCCCAACACAATCCACCCAGCTCATGTCTGAGCTTAGACATTCCGATGTCTGGACTCAGCAAAGGAATAGAGACAGTGTGTCAGAGACAGGACCTGAGTGTGGAGTGAACTCCTTCCACAGTTGAGGGGTGCAAACACCTTGTGAAGGTGAAAGGCACTCCTGCAAGATGATTGCAGTCAATCTCAGCTCTCAGAGTTGCTCTGTTTTCCTTCTTCCCTAGAGACTTTTGTCATGTTTATCAATATTTTTTTAAAAATCTTTCTTTCTTTCTTTCTTTCTTTCTTTCTTTCTTTCTTTCTTTCTTTCTTTCTTTCTTTCTTTCTTTCTTTCTCTCTCTCTCTCTCTCCCTCCTTCCTTCCCTCTCCTCCTTTATCACCTTTCACCCTTCATTCCCCTTTAGAAACTATTTGTACATATGAAATTTTTTTCTTTTTTTTCACTTTTTCAGCATTTTTTTTTTAAATAAAGATAATAATATAATCACCTCATTTCTGCCTCCCATTTCCTTGCTCCAAATCCATTTGCTGCCTGGGATACAAGCCGTCTTTCAAATTCATGGACTCCTTTTCTTTAATTGTTGTTCTCATTTGGTATTGAATAGACAATTGGTGTGCTCTTCCCTGGGGAAGACTATTTTGGGAGCTCTCAAAATTCCTTAATTACCTGTAGTACTTTATAATAGGTTTTCTGCCTCCTCCCCCAATAAGTTTCTCCACTGACTCAGTAAGCCAGAGCAAGTCTAATTGAAACAGTATAACAGGTATATTGAGCAAAGCAACTCCTGGGTGTGTTCACTGGTCTCAGAGATCAAGGCCAGAGAAGTAGTGCACCAGAGCCAGAGCAGGAAAGTTCATAGATTGTAGGTGGGGCATGATGGTATGTCTGCCATATGCTGGGTTTGTGCCCAAGTATGGTCAAAAGCTGAGCACTTAGGCAGGGACTTGGGTGGCTGGCTGGAACCGGAGGTGGGTGGGGTGAGTTGTGTTAGGGGATGGGATGGGAAGAGTGGGGTGGGGGTGGGGTGGCATGGGATTGC